CCTGGCCGATGCCAAACCTGGACAGCGCGATGGTCTGTCTGGTCGGAACGAACGTGTACTTCACGTTGGACTGGACCAAGGGGTACTGGCAGTTGCCGCTGCATGCGGACAGCCAGATGTACTTCTCGTTCATGACGCCTTTCGGCGTGTACACCCCGACCCGCGTGCTCATGGGACAGACGGACGCTGTCGCGTACTGCCAGTCGGTTTTCCACCAAATGTTTGGTGAGCTGCTGTTTCGAGGCCTGTTGGCCTGGCTCGATGACTTGTTGGGGTCCACCAAGACGACGGACGAGCTACTCGACTTGTTGGACGAAGTCCTGGCCATCTGTGCCCAGTTCGGACTCGAGCTGAGCCCGAAGAAGTGCCATTTCTTTCTGAGTGAGGCTGAGTGGTGTGGCAAGGTGATTTCGTCCGATGGAATCACCCTTCCCCTAGCCGAATCAAGCACTCGTGGATTTATCGCTGCCGACGACTGCGGCCGACCTTCAACCGTTGGTGAGTGCAACCAACTGGATGCGTGTGAGCATTCCTGGTTACAACCAGTTCGTGGATCCGTTGCGACGTCTGCTTGACGTGGCCACCAAGGCAGCCGGAAGCTGCAAGAAAACGGCGTTAGTGCGTGTTGCACTCCCTGCGGTGGGATGGTGGACCGACCATCTCAAGTGTTTCAACGATGTGAAACACGCCTTGGTGCATGTGGTGCCCTTGTCGCACCCACGAGAAGACATGGCGGTCTGCGTCTTCATGGACGCCAGTGACCTGTCTTGGGGACTACCTGGTCGTACGCCCGGGTGGTTTCCGTCTGTTTACGGATCACCGCAACCTGGTGTACATCTTCAACCCAAGTGGCTCGAGCGCCAACATGACGAAGTACCAGGCCGACAAGCCGCAGCGATTTCTCTGGTGATGTCGACCTTACTATCACCCTTTCGGGGTTTCGGGTGATGCGAATGTATGGGGCGACCTCCTGAGCAGATGGGGTTCGGCTCCGATGGATCAACTAGTTGCGAATGTTCGCAAGTTGATCCATGCGGTGTCACCTCTGCAACAAGTGGATTTCGAGTGGTCGACAGCCGCTACGATCAGCGGCATCCAACGTCAACCATGGAAGGGGGAGGGACCCCCCAAACGGCGTGGATTGGGACGACGACTCCCATTTTTATGGGACCCAGACGGACGAATTTGGATCCCAGATGGGCAACTGGAGCAGCAATCGGCTGCAGACTTGGTGGAAAGTGCGATGCACACGGTGGGCGATGATGGTGTGCAGAAGCTACTGGAGCAGCACTTGGCATGGGAGGAGGCCGCCAAGAATGCGAACCCAAGGTAAGGTTTGTTTCGTAGACTCACCTGATTGCCAAGTAGTTGGATGGTCTCGCACAGCGAAGTGGCTACCCGTCGCTGTCCATCGCGACCCACGATCGCAATCACGTCGGCGTTTTAGATCACGCGGTCGCTCTGCGGTGCCCGGGCGTTCGCTTCCCCGTGGACAGACGGCGGTGTTCATCACGGCACAAACACAGGCTTTAGGGATGATGCCAAGTGGGTTTTCGGAGGTCCCGGCAAGCGCCTGATCGAGCGTCTTGGCTTCTCCAACGGTGAGTTCGTCGAGTTGGGCGCGATTGTCGGCGCCGCGGCCGGTGAACTCATTTTCGGGGTACAATCCGCCGCCGGGGCCACAGCGGGAAGAGCGTTTTGCAGAGGCGGAGCGACAGGCTGTCGCAGACTATCAAGCAGAGGCGCGGGCGGTAGCGGCGCCCCATCAAGCGGTAGTGCAACATACGGTTCTGGTGTTGCAGGCGTCTGCGCCGGTGACGCCGGAGGATGAGAAGAAGTCGGCAGCGGCGGAAGAGGAAGAGGAGCCGCCGCGGGATCCACACGATAGGTTGCAGTCGTTACATGTTCGTAGATGTAGGTAATGGAGATATATACCGTTTGAATTTGTCAACGTAAATGTTGGGTGAATCTGCCAGGATCTGGGCAGATGGAGCTTGCAATTGGTCGGACTGACCACGCGTTGGACGGTGAATGAGCTGTGTCATGCACTGCGTAGCTTGGCGTTGGAGGACATCTCAGCCGCGTGATTACAGAATGCATGGGCGGGCACCGCCGATTTGTGCAGAAGGACTTGATCGACGACGCGAAAGTCGCGAAGTTGGAACGGCCTCCTTTTTATCTTGAGTCGTTTGGCGCTTCTGGGTGGCAGCCACGCTGTCATGAATCTGTTGCATGACAGAAGATCGGCGCGACAGGAAACTCTGGATGGTCTGGATCGTACGGCTGGGTGCGTTGTGGAGAACGCCAGCAGAGAAGAGCCGCGCAGTGATGTCTCCCCCACTTGAGACAGAGCCGTCCAGCATCGTGGGGAAGACGGGGATTCTGGAGATGGACAGCGTAGTGCGCCGAAAACCCCGTGGATGCCTGAACCGAGGCGTTGTACCCGACAGCAGCATGCTGTAACGTGACAGCCCACGACAAGCCGTTCGAGACCGAGTAGCTCCGAAGAATGTCTTTTTTTATTTAAGGTTGATGGATTACTGGTAAGCTTATACAGACAAAGCTACACTACTGGGGAAAATGGTGTGGGGCTACCCAGGGTTGAAGGCGAGATCCAGGTCCAGGAAATCATATAGTGGGGTGAGCTGCCGTGATGGTAGAGGAACGGACTCCGGTCCATCCAAGGAGGTGTACGACGCGCACTCATCCGGCGCCAATTTGGACAAAAAGTCCGCTGTTTGATTGCCCTCCCGAGGTCGGTGGCACCATGTACAGTGGATTGTAGCTGCTAGGCGGTGGGCCTGGAGGTACTGGGCGCGGAGCCCGGGATGACTCACACGGTAGATACCCTGCATTTGACGCATGAGCAGTTGACTATCCCCGTATACCGTAAGGTGGGTGTAACCGCGGGACTGGGCTAGCTGAAGGCAGCTCCGAAGAATGTCTTCGAGGATGCGGTTTGCGCGTTCCGTTTGGCCGTCGGACTCGGGGTGGTCAGAGGTCGAAATGGCCAGTGAGGTGTCGCACAGGGTGAAAAGGGTCATCCAAAATTTCGCTGTGAACCGGGGATCGCTGTCCGAGATGATGGAGCGGCCAGACCGAAGAAACATGATCGAAGAAGGAGCGAGCGGCGTCCGAGACGCTCAGCGTGTACCTGTGCAATGACGTATTTCGACGCAAACCATGATACCAGTGTTGCCGCGGGCATCGCGCGGTAAACCAATCATAAAATTCATGCTGACCGACGACCAAAGTTCATTGGGTATGGACAGGGGTGGAGAGGCGCCCATGAAGAAGCCATGATCTTGGTGCGCTGGCAAACGTCGCAGTGAGCGATGTAGCTCATGACAGATTAGTACATGCACGGCCACCAGTATGAGCACGCAAGGATCAAGTACATTCTGGCGCGGCCGAAATGGCCACCGGACGGCAGAAGACCGATCGTAGTCAGTTCGAGATCGGGACGCCGGTACAAGGCGTCGGCCAGAATGTTGTCCTTGTCCGGCTTGTACTGGACCGAGAATGTGCACTTGGAGAGATACGACATATGGGACGTGTTGGTCGCCGTGCGGAGGGACGCGTGGTCAGTGTAAACCACGAATGGTTTAGCTCCGAGAAGGTAAATTCGGAACTTGGTGAGGGCATAGTTCATGGAGAGAAGCTCCATGTGGTGAACCGGGTACGCTCGCTCAGTCTGATGGAACTGGCGGCTCTGCATGAAATCGGACGAGGCAGGCCAGTAGCATCAAGCACCTGCCAATGGCATACGGCGAGGCGTCGCAGACAACGGAGAAGGGCTTGGCGAAGTCCGGGAGCGCCAAGATTGGAGCACTTTGGAGGTTGTGCTTGAAGCCATCGAAGGCTGACTGGCATTCGGAATCCCAAACCCAAGGGGCATCTTTGAGGAGGAGACGAAACAGCGGCTGAGTAATGGCCACGAAATTGTGGGAGTATTTGTGAAGGTAGGTCGCAAGACCAAGCCAGCGACGAAGGTCCTTGACGGAGGAGAGGATAGCCAATCCGAAATGGCCCGTATCTTGTCGGGGTCGGCCCGATAGCCGTTCACTCCCACCAAGTCCCCCAGGACTGGGATTTCGCGCTGCGGGGGTAGAAGGGGCGAGATCGTTACTCATCGTTACTCATCGCCGCAATCGTACGACCAAGCGGGTTGGTGGTGGACAGGGCGGAAGGCGATCGGCAGCCCACCGATGAATCCAGGTTTGGCTCGCGTGGAGCCAAGTGACCTTGCGCACGAATTTGGCCTTCCAATCAATTCAAGACTGGTGGGACTCCAGCCATGACATGCTGATGAAGATATCCCATCTCTCATCGAGATCGATAATGTCGAACGATTCGACCGAGTCGAAACCGTCGAAAGTGTTGGGGACGTCGACAATGATGCGTGGTTGAGACGCAGTTGGCCATCAGTCATCTTGACGCGAACCCGGTCAGACGGGGTAAGCGGTTCAGGCGAGACAAGGTGGAGAGGTACGCGTAGTTGTTCGACGCCCCACAATCGATTAAAACAGAGAGCTTGGCTGGAAAGCCAGGCATGACAAGTTCAAAACAAATCATTTTATTTTGTTGGAGCCTCAAGAGGACCTAGTTTGTCCACAGTAGGTCGCCTCGCGACTACTCGGATCGACCTTTTCCCGTCGCACCAGAGCTCAGAGCGAAACGGAAAGGAGGGTGCGAAGAGCCGTGTTGTTCACGATGGAAGCGGTTGGAAGGACCGATCGGACGACGACGCGAGTGGTTGTTCAGTAGAGTGCGCAAGGGGCCGCGGGCAGGAGGCGTGTTCGACGCCTCACGGCGTGGAGCCATGATTGCACCAAATATCATCCACCTCCTAGTAAGTACGATTCAACGAATCACATTGATTGCCAGAACGACCAGCTTGGTCGGGAAAACATGTAGTTCTTCCGGCGTTGCGTGGGCAGCAATAGACGATGCCGTGTAGATGCTGCTGTGGCCTCAGTGGCATAGAGTTGAATCGTGCTACCAATGGCTTGGCGTACGTGATCTTCGGGGAACATCCCGCTGAGGAGTAGCGCGGTATAGCTGTCACCAATGCCGCGGCTCAGAAGAACGAGGACTGCATGATGCGCTGCCGTGTTGGTGGAGGACATGGTGGTGGTCTACTGAGTGAACTTGGAGTGCTACAGTACCAAGTGTGAGCGTGCGCAGAGGATCGCAGGAGATGGTAGAATGAATCGATAGCGTTAAGACTCCTACGCTATCACTAAGCTACGAGCAACCAATCGTTGTTTGGTTGGTGTAGAAAGTGTATCGATCAGGCCGGTGAACGACACCAAGTATCTTCGTGGGGACACCTTGGACTGACGTGGTGTTGAGTGGTTATCCGGATAGCAACCGGATGAGGGGAAGGGTTACAAATGTTGCAGACAAATAAACAGCAATTATCGCGAATTCACGTGTGTGCATTCCATGCTAGCCAGTTGCATGAATTGTACGGATAACGACTACAAAATCCGGTATTTAAGTTTCCGGATACAGATATTGCTCGAAACGACCATATTGTGTGATCGGTAGTATTAGAATTTACAATGCAGTCTGCTTCTTTGATTGACGGGATTTTGTTGCGAATCCATTTCATTGGCATTCTCCTCGTTCCACTCTATAAACCGATACAGTGCTATATATAATTCAAATTTCTTCACCTTCGTTTTTTATATTTCATAAATAATGCAAATATTTCCGGACAGAGGTATCGTGCATTTCACCCAAATTTGGACTTGAGAGTATTTTCGCCAAATAGCTTTTGAATCTATTTGATCCTATTTAACCTTGTATTGTGCTTTTTACTCGTTTTGGCCATTCACACCATAAACCTAGGTGTTTGTTATATCGACCCCAGTCTTCTAGATTATCCGTACAGTGATTTAGGATCACATTTCGTTACAGAATGTAATTATAGCAATTCTTTATGGAACTCCCTCGCTTTTGCACATTTGAAAAGTGCAAATCGAAGGTATATCAGCTTTTCTCGGGCCCAAATTGCACAATTCAGTGGTCATCATGACAACTTTTGATATTAGAAATGACACACAGCGAGGACAAGCGCCTGAGTTCGACCGTACAACGATGTACATATGGTGCCACATCGTAGAATACCACGCTATCTTCTTGTGAGTAAGTGCATGTAGCATGTACTTATCCGCTGGAATAACAGTCAAAATGTTTGATCACTTCAGCATCACATGTGATTATTATTGCTCAGAGTTATTTGGCATTTATAAAAGCCCAGTGAATTAGCTAAAACACCAGGTATTTATTCAACCTTATAACACAGTTACAGCAGAAGTACCATTCTTTTAGCCACATAAAATTGACGCCAAAACAAGTGCAAAGCACAATACATACTAGTACTATAATATACAACTATTAGTATATATGTGGCTTCTCCTATTTTTGAATATTCAACCAAGAATCCGCTTTTAAACCCTGATTATTTCAAACTGGAAAGCTCTATTTCACAAAATAATTGCCAATCGTTTGCATTGGCAGAAATTCGACATGATGTGATTTGATTGGTTCAGGCAGTTCATTAATCGATTCTCCTAAGACATTGGATTCTGCCGATGACTCCAGTTCCGGGAGCTCCACAATATAGCTCAGAGTCTTGTCGAGGGTTGTCCTGGGTTCCGACCCCAGAGACTAGACAATTTCAGCGACCCTCCCAGAGCGCGGAGCGCAGGAAGCTAAAACACCTCGGCTGGTCGCGGAACATCCGAATTTTCCCCACGACAATTCTCCCCCGTTTAAGTCCAAGCTCTGGCGAGGACCAGTAGGATCGTAGCATGCCGCAACCACACAAAGCAAAGTTAGACACGACCCAAGGAGTCCCGACGCCTCCCCACGAAATGGAGAAAGCCTCCGCTGGCAACTCTCCTCCCCACACGGCACGCTCATCCGGTGCTGGCTCGATAGCACCGGCGCCCCGACGAGCCAGATCGGGTAGTGCCGTTCTTCGATATCCACATGTCGAGAGTCAGGATGTCCGGCCATATTGCCCCGGGAGAAAGCGTCAATCTGGGCTGCAGCGAATACCGGGGTGACATCCGAGTCTGGACGGAGGACTTCCTGATTCGAATACCCAGTCCGGGTGGCCCCGACGGTTATAGCACTCACAGTCCCGGTCCTCGAACACGCCATAACGGGGTCTGGACGACCTAGCACCGAGTTTGTTGAGTCTCCTGGCTCCTGAGCGTCACTTGTCTCTTCCGGGAAGGTGGCCAATGTGCCCCGGACCCGTGACTGGGTCCGGGACAGATTGGAGGCGGCACCCTGAGGTGTCAGAGAATCTCCGTCAGGCAGCGCACTAGCGTCATGGGTGTTCGGTTCAGTTTGTCGACACGAACTTTCTTCTTTTGATGGTTCTACATGCATGCCATTCTCTTCACTCTTTACGCTTCCTTGTCGTCGATCCGTCTGTTTGTCGACGCAAGTCGTCCCCGGCGCTGGGTCCTGTGTATACACCTGTGGTCCACGAGGTCGCTCCAATTGTCTTGTCTCTTCCAGGCGCCTCATCGCAGCCTCTTTCTACGTCTGTCTGTTACCGTAAGGTTTCCTACGTTCCCGGTACTCCAATCACTCTGCCTCCTTCTGTGCTCACGGTGCTGTCTTCCGGGAGAGGTCGGGGCGCGGTTGCGCACCCGGTCCGTGCCTCTCGTCGGAGGGAGGTAGCATTGTGGCTTCTGTCTGTAACTTGTCTTCAGGGCGCTGCTGTAACCCGCCCTCTTGTTGCATGTCCTTGTAAGCAGAGTCCGGGACTCCCTTCGTTTGCGGGGGTCGGCTCGCCATACCATTCTTCGTATCGTCGCCCAGCCCCGGAGCAGTCCAGGGTTCGATAGTCGCCGAGTTCCCGGGGGAGGTATCTTCGATCATGTATGAGTCCTCCGTTCGTCTGTCGATGTCCACATCTCGCTCAATCAGGTAGTCCAGGCTGCTTTCGATAGTACAGAGGCTCGCCGGAGGCACGCGGCATCGCTACATCGAATGATCATCATAACCTCAACCCTATTGGCGACCGCAATCCGCCATGCGTACTCCCGAACGGTTTCCGTAGACCTTCGGTGGGAGTTGTCGTTAATTGCGGCCACCTTCCAACTCAGTGTCTTCTGAATGAACTCCTTCCGGAAAGCCTCCCGAGCTTCCACCCAGGAGACTGGTTCGCTGCCACGGCACCGTGAGCCCACCAGTCCTGGACGCAAAGTACTCCACAGGATATCAGGCAGTCATCGAAGATTCGAACGACCTGGGTGTCGTTGAGCCCGTACTCCTTCTGGATGATATCGAACTTCGCCAGAAAATGTACCAATGGGATTGTCCGGTCAACACTTTCGAACTTGGGCGCGAACTTCCGAGCATCGGACATGGCCTGACGTGCAGCGGAACGGGACTCTAGGGGTGCGTTGGTCGTCTTCCATATCCGGGTCCTCCAGGAGGTCCCGGAGGGTCACCTCGGCAGCCGAAGGTCCACCATAGTGACCCCCATTCGGTCCACTTCCAGGAGGTGCGGGAGGATTCGTTCGACCTGAGTGACCACCCCCGTAGCCGCCCCGGGACTGTAAACCTCCACCACCGGATTCTGGACCATAGGAGGGCGGTGGGTTATACCCCGACCCGGTATCACTAGGGGAGAACTGCGCGTACTCAACTCCGACCAGCTGACCATAGTCCCCTGAGGCCGGGTACGAGTCGGTATTGCGGTTGAGTTGCGGCATTATAGACGCCGTTGGCACAAACTGTAGCGGCATGGCGTCCCGGACTGTAAACGTCGGTGACATCCGGGGCGAAGCCTCAGTCTGCTGCATAAAACAGGTTTGGTCAAAGGCTCGGCGATGCGTAGGCGTGTTTGAGCGGGTGACCGGGAGCAAGGGCGCCATAGTAAATGTAGTATGCGTGACACCGCTTCCTTTAGACGGGGACCCCATCCGGGACAGAGCCGGAGTCCCATATGTCGCGAACGGGGCGTTGTTCGTCTTCCGAAGAGTCTTTTGTTGGAGTTCCACAGCTCTTTGTTCGACTTGTAGCTGGGCCCTCTGACGTTCCAACTCCGCATACACCAGGCTCAGAGTGAGGCCCTGGACCGACCGTTCTCTGAACAGGGTAGCCCCTTGTCCCCGCAACTGCAACTTCTCCGTTTCCAAACGGGTGCGCGCTTGCTCTATTTGGCACAGCACCTCTTCATTGGTATGCCTCTCCCGTTTCAGCTGATTCCGTGCGAGGGATGAGGGATCTTCTCCGGACTGAGCGCGTTCTTGGGTAAGTGTCATGAACTTCTCCTGGACCAACTGTTCGAGGTCCTGGCGGCATCCTTGTTCCGAAAGCAGTGTCTGTTCGTACCGATTCTGCTCGGCCAGGATAGACTCCTAGAGCCCGGGTTATCTCTTCGCTACTAGTATCCAGGAGACGTCGGTGCTCTTCTTCCCAGACTCGTTCCATCATTTGGCATCCCTGTACTTCCTCCTCCAGACTCCGTTCCCCTTCGCGTAGGGCTTCGCGGAGGTCCTGCTTTTTCTTCTCCACGATCGGGCAATTTCAACAGACGACGTTCGCAGACTCTCGGAAGAGAGGTCCCGGAGGGCTGCTCGGAGGGCCTCCTGTACCGACTCGAATTCCGAAGCCTTCGACTGGACCTCGTCCTGGGCCGAAACCAGGCCCCGGTCGTACTGGAGTAGGAAATAGGCAACCCTCTTCGAGTTGTCCTCGTCACGGGAAACTTTCCGTACTAGACGGATTTCCCCATGATGATTCCGCTGGAGGGTCTGGAGTAGTTCCCGGAGACTGGACATGAGGCCGTCGTGACACAGGTTGTCCTCTCGGCGGCGAACTTCGAGAACCCGCTCCGCATCTTTCTGGACCCGGGACAGGATTTCTTCATGCAAACGGGGTGCCCCCACGAGTTCGGAGGCCTAGGAGAGATTCACGTTGTTCCCATTTTAGAGCCAGTTGTCGTTTAAGTTCCCAGGTCCGGTCCTCCCAGGAGATAGCGTTCTTTTCCCCATCCCGGTGCAGAGCCTCATTCGCTTCGTTGGTTACCAGAGCCCGGGCAACGTCCAGCTCCCAAGTATAGTAGTGCCGGAAGTAGGTCAGGGCCTTCTGGAACTCATCCTGACGGAAACTTTCATGGGTTTCCGCAGCCCGTAGAAATAATTCGACCATCTCTACCAACTCGGTTTCGTGAACAACCAGTAAACGAGCTGGGTCCTTGTTGGCTTGTTGGAAAAACAGTAGGGATGCCGTTCATTGTTGCTCTTCAATGCCCCGAGTGAACTCTTCATAGGCCTACTGGATACCCCGTATCCCTGCTGTGGCTACCGTGATCGTGGCTACGATCCTTTTCCCATGTAATCCAGGACCGTTCCAGATATGCGTTCCCGATACCATACCCCTGTACCCCTCTTGGACTAGGAAGGTGTATCCGGGAGCTGGGACAGTGATCGAATATCGCTATATGGTTTCGGTGTCGTCTCACGACCATCGGTAACGGTCCTGGCCAGGGTTGGGGTTGAACCGTCGGTACTGGTTCTAGTCAACGAAGACGTAGGAAAAAAGGCCAGATCTGCCGCCGATGCCAGCACCAGGATCTTCAAAGTTGACCGCGTCACCGGACAGTCTGTGGGAGGCGACATTTGTGGCGACCTATTAGCCTCCCGCTCCTGTCCCGGATTCGATACTCGCGCGCCGCCATGTCCGTCTACCGGACCAGACCCGTGACCAGTGGCTTCTTTCGCAATTAGAGTGGCCAGGAGTCCAAACTCTGGGGCTTCAGCCGCCAGACGGCGTAATTGGCGCACTGCTGTCGTCGTGGGTTCTTCTGTCGATATCTTTCCGTGCTTCCTTTGCAAATACCTACCCTGCAGCTCCACCAGAATGTCGCGGGGTTTCACGACAAATCTAATGGGTAGGTGCGGCGTATGCAAGCGTGTAAAACACCAAACGCGTAGTTCAGGGCAAAATGTAAAGTCGAGTTAGTTGATTTAGCTTCAAAGAAAAGTGTCAGACTAATGGATAATCTAGGTCTGTGAGCTCCATAATGCAGCTCAGAGTCTTGTCGAGGGTCGTCCTGGGTTCAGTCCCCAGAGACTAGACAAGTTCAGCGACCCTCCCGGAGCGCGGGTTGCAGAAAGCTAAAACACCTCTGTCCGAATTTTCCCGCGACACTACACGTAATTAATTATTCATTGGGGTGCTCATCTCTTTCAAAACCGAAACAGATCAATCTGATTGGTGCAATAGATTCGTCGACCTTGGGGTGGAAAAATTGTTTCACGCCTGCAGATTAATTTGATTTTCAAAACACTCAATACAATAATCAAGTCAAATGTTTATTATGACCCAATTAGCATTCCAACCTCCTCGTGTTCCCCGCCACGCAGGCGGCGCCAACTTCTTCAGGGAGACTACATCTATTTTCGTGCGCCGTCAACGAAGAAGAATTGGATGGACCTCCACGGCCAGCAGCGACAAATTCCAGCGCCTCTTCTATCGCCACAGAAGTCGGCGGCGATTTGGTTGGTATGCTACTAGTACTATTAATAGTAATACAATGGGGAAATATGTAGTACCAATCATGCACATCTTGTGCCAATCATGCACATCTTGTGCTGGAGATGCCGCGTAAGAACACAGGTAACGTTATATCTCCTGCCCAAGCAGGAGGAAGTTCGGGCTAAGGCCTAGTTACATGTATGAATACGAAATAACTCGTTTGTTAATTCCCCAAGCCGGTGTACAGTGAGTCATGCATTATAATATGTTGGAGCACATGTACGTTGACTGCAGCCTCCTTCGCTCAGCGCCAACTCGAACACAATTAATTGCCTTGAACCAGCCAGTACAACGCACCAGTAATCAATATATTGTACACAGTTAGCGTTAGTTGGTGTACGCCAGAATTCTGATTCGCTCCAGTAAAGAGGAACAGAGGGAGTACTACTACATGTACTTGTACGTAGTACCCACACCAAGCAGCTCAAGCAGAGTTGACGTCACCACTCACCACCCCACATCCAAGTAGTTTAGCTAGTATACACTTGGAGCGACGGCACTATGCTGACATCGAACGAGCCTGCTAACCCCCAGAGGCCGCCTTTGGTGTCGGTGTACGCGAGCTGTACGTCAGCCTTGGGGTCGTTCGTGGTCGAGTACTCCTCGGTGCCATACAACCAGACGGGCAACTTGTTCTTGGTTTCGCCGTTCGAGAGCACCGTGAACCAGTACGTGGTGCTGGGCGCAAGTTCAATAGGGGACTGGGGGAACCATTGGAACGTGACCTCTTCGCCGAATTCTTGGATGGGGATACGCGGGGTGGCACAGGCCTTGGTGCACCCGGGCAAGCCTAGAAGGAAAACTCTTATATATTGGTTTGAAAGGGGGAACTATGTATAGGGGGGGATCAGTGTATAAATGGTTACCTCTGTCGTCAGGGGGGCACAAGTCAGCTTGCAACCACAGCGACGCGTTGGTGGGAATGTCGATCGTGCGGACGGTAAAGTTGACAAATTCAAGTTTCAGTCCAGTGGGGTGGTCAGAAACGGTGTCAGAACCTCCTACCGCCGGGGGGCTGCGGAATTGAACTGCCACGCTTTGGTCTTTGGAGATGGCCATGCCCGTGGTATCCCGGGGCTCAAGGCTGTCAAACACCAGCGTGATTGGGCGGTCCCCCACTTGGGACGCGGCGGCGGCGGCGGCGGCGTGGATGAGAGCAAGAAAGAACTTCATGGCAATAAATCAAATCAAGTAATGAAAAATGGGCTGACATCCACTATTCAAAGAAGAATTGAACGACCAAGCCATACTCTATGACCGGTTGGTTCTAGGTTCAATATGCGTTATCGTTATGACACTTGTCGCACGGCAAGTTTACTACACAGATCAATTAACTGTAACTGTAAATAGCAAGATTGAGACATACGGGGAGTCGTTTATTCGTTTTTGTAGGCTCTTTGTAGGCAGAATAAGCCCAACTTGTGAAAAAGTTGCCTCTGATTAGCAGGTAAGTTGTTGTATGGTGCATTTCATCTAAAGACTACAGATCGGCCATCCCCAGGAGGAGGCGTTTTAGTTTTAACGCCTCGGTTCTTTCAGTTAAACCCACCTAATGTTGACGTTAAATTATTATTACTTACGTTTTTATCTGTTAAATAGGTTAAACATCCTGAATAATCCGGATACAATGGAAACGTTCATACGGATAAGTGCTGTATACAAAGACCAAGATATACTTGATCCACCTTTTCGGCCAATATGTGCCTGGCTCGATATATTTCCATACAAAAAGGCTGGTTGGTTTAAATTCTATTTCTCGATCAATTTTTCACCAATCGAAATTTTGAACCGTAACTTCTGTTGGTCTTGACCAGTTCTATCGTTATTACGGCTTATTTTCCTAAAAAATATCAATACAAAGTTGGAATAGCTGTCGAAAGACAAGGCATTTTTTTGTAGTCTTTAGTTGAAATGCACCATAGATAGTAGAAATGGACTCCGTAGTTGTACTACATACTGTAGTAAAACACAGGGATACAATAGGATGTACTTGTTGACTGGTGTATGCTCGGCACTATTCCACCGCTGTACAGTACGTCCTACATACTGTACCGCTCATCTACGTTTGGTTCTTTCCTCGTCCCTCTTGACACACTTCGAAAGCATGTGGGCACTGTATTTGCCCCGACTGCTGAACATTGCCACGTGGTACCGTTGAGTGTCCAAGTACAGTTCCGCAATATCTTATTCCTGTTCAAATATAATATTCCTTTATCATTTTATAAATTCCAATCTGCTCGTCTGGTTTTTACACAACCCTAATCCATACTTACTTCAAGTATAAAATTTGGCCCTTCACTGGTCATGAATGTAATGCAACTTGCTAAATTATTTACGTTATCGTGAGCTGTCTAAATCCATTGTGTTTAGGTGTATGTGACAGCTAGGTCCACCACATCGCAATAGGATAAATACTTGACGAGGAATTCACGAAAGAAAAAAGAGAAAAATGGGCACATCACTGGTCGATCACGTTACTACAGGGGGGGAATAGCTCATTGTCAATGGAGGATTATTAGAATTTTAACCGGATATTATTCCTAACTTAATATTGCCTTCTCGCGTTATCCGACTGATTGGGCTCACTCGGGGGGCCCGGAAACCCCGAAGTCTTAGTAATCACGGAAGATTAAGGCAAATGATTACGCCATAGCATCATTTTAAGGGGTATTTGAAATAAAACGTGGTATTCCGGGGTAAAAGGGGTTTATGGTCAGGTTTTTGGGAAACACATGGGGGTAAATGGGGTTAGGGGTCAGAAATGATTGGTGTGAAATGTGAGTTACAGTTCGTGTCAGTAAAGCCACGTTGTTGGTGTGTTCTGGTGTCGAGTCGAAGGTGCGCCTCACAGTCAGACAACATCACGTTTTACTAGTAATACTAATGACATCCGTTAAAATGGTCCATGCCACATCCAAAAGATCATCTCCTAGACTTGCTTTTTCTTAGATGACCTTTTGGACGCGGCAAGGAGCATTTAAGCAGGTCGACCTTGCTCACGTTAGATTTCCCAATGAGAAGTACTCTCATTGGCAGATTAGCCAATTAAATCATAGTATTTGGATTGAGTTCACAGCAAGATAGCCAATCATGAGAAGGCAACCCACATCCTGCCATTTTATTGGCTCTGCAGGCTATTAATAGAGATTCTGAGTATATTATTATGATGTTTAGGTTGAACTTGCGCATGCTAAATATTCTCTTCGGCAGATTAACATACCGAGGATTATATAATTTTACAGAGGAGTCAAAATCTATATGGCTTGTCTAACTGTAAACCTATACACGCTTACACGGTAGTTTAACCGAGTCTTATGCATACTTGCGCTTTGCTTCCCATCCGAGCGGGTTACTGTAATTGATCTGTCTAGTCAAAATTCGACGTGCGACAAGTGCCATAACGGTCGTTCGTGGTCGAGAACTCCTTTGTGCCATACAACCAGATGGGCAACTTGTTCTTGGTTTCGCCGTCGGAGAACACCGTGAGTCAGTATATTCAACAGAGGACGCAAGGAGCCTTTGGAACGTGATCTCTCCACCGAATTCTTGGATGGGGATTCTCGCAGGACATTGTGCACTTAGGCAAGCCTCAAAGGAAAACTCTCGTGAATGTATATTGGTTTGAAAGGGGGAGCTATAGTGGGGCGGAAGGGCACACGTCAGCTTGTAACCACTGCGACGCGTTGGTGGGAATGTTGATCGTTAAAGTTGACATATTCAAGGGACAGTCCAGCTGTGAGCGTGCACAGAGGAAGACGCAGGAGATGGTAGAATCAAAAATGAATTGTTAGCGTTAAGACTACTACGCTATCACTAAGCTACGCGCAACCAACCATTGATGTATCGTCGGGGGAACACCTTGGTTGCGCAAGAGGACTTGGTGGTGTGCGAAGAGATACCTTGGACTGTAGAGACACCTTGGACAGAAGAAGTGTCGACTAGTCATCCGGTTATTAACCGGATGATGGGCACGGTTACACCCGCCCCTACTTAAGACAGAACGTGCCATCATCACGTGGTCAAAATGAGAGAGAACTGTTGGCGTGACAGTTGAGATTGAGATGGCAGACGAAGGCAAGAAGCGCAAGGCGAACGAGATCGCCGAGGATGCCGAAGACAGCGTCGAAGAGGCCGAAGCGCCGGCGCAGCAAGTGGATGTAGTGGACCTCACAGCCGAGTCGGATGACGCGGCCGGAGTGGCACAACGCAAGGCCGACTGGGAGGCCAAGGCGGCCTTGAAGGGCGAACGGCTTGAACAGCTGGAGCAGCAAGTGGCTGCCGAAGAGAGTCATGCAATCAGTGGGCGCCGAAAGTGTACAAAAGGTGCTGGAACAGCACTTGGCATGGGAGGAGGCCGCCAAGAAGGCACGAGCGGCCGAAGAGGTGAAGGCGAAAGCAAGTCGCGCCGAAGATGCCAAAGCGATTGCAGCGGCTGCGGCGAAGGCGGCGGACGAAGCAGCCAAGGAGGCTGCGGAAGCAGCGAGGAAAGTGACCTGCGAATGTGTGACTGGGACACCTTCAGGCGATGGGGGGGGAGAAGGAAAAGCGAGCGGCGTGGGGACCACCGTAAAGACGGAGGCCAAAGTGAAGGCTGAACTTATTGCCTCGCCCGAGACGAAGTGTACGAGCGAGAGCTGGGGTTCCACTGCGATCGCTCTCGGATCTTCACGCCTGCCGGTTGGGGTGGCGCGGACTTGGGGTATGTGCGCGACGTTACACGCCATTTGACGATAGTGCGCGAGTTCGACGAGACTCGCGAGGATTGGGGATACCAGACGGCCAATGCTGCCGGCGTGGAATAATATCTGCGCTTGTTTGCAAGTGCCCAATCGTTTGAGTTGCGGGTGTTGTGGATGCTGCTTGCCATGGAATGCATGCAGCTTGCGAGGGTGAGTTTTCACCGGTTTGATGAGTTCAAGGGCGCCATGCGCGAGTTTGCAAGAACGGGAGTGCCTGGAGCGCTGGACTGTTGACGTGGGGCGGATCGAGCTTTGCAATGATGAAGCATTGCTGGAGTACCTTGTAGCGTTTGTGTGGACGCTGGTCGGACAAGGCAGCGGGCGGCATGGGCAGTTGCCGCTGATAGCGGGGCGGTTGGCCAACTCGCTGTCTAATTTCGCCGGGGTGCGGCGACAGAAGCATGGGCGTTTGGACGCACGGTCTATCGCGCGGATCGCCACTCGCGTAAATATGCGGCGCGGGCCTGATGTATGTGTTGTTTAACATAATCTTCTGATTGCCAAGTTGTAGTTGGCCCGACTCGCACAGCGACCTGCCGATCCGTCGCTGTCCACCGCGATCCCACGATCGCGCTCGCGTGGGCGATCAGCGGTGCCAGGGCGCTGACCCCCTTGGGGCCAGGCGGCGATGTCGGCAGCGGCGCAAATGCAAGGGGCGCGAGTGACACCAGGCGGGTATTCGGTGCTTACTACGAGCGCCTGGTCGAGCGTATGGGCTTCGCTGACGGCGAGTTCGTCGACGTGAGCGCGCGAAGATGCGCAGGTGGCAGCACGATTGTCGGTGGCACGGCCGACGAATCCATTCGCGGGGTACAATCCGCCGTCGGGACCTCAACAGGATGGTCAATTGACAGCGGCGGAGCGGCAAGCAGCCGCAGATTATCGGGCGGGGGCGCGGGCGATTGCGGCGCCGCAACAAATGGTGGTGCCGGTGTCGAGGGCGGCGACGGCTGGAGAGGAGGAGGAGAAGTCGGAGGCGGCCGAAGAGGAAGAGCCGCCGCGGGATCCGAAGGATCGGTTGCCGTCACTTCATCGCTCGTAGGTGTAGATAATAACGGTAAATAACGTTTGAGTTTACCCACATAGAATGTTGAATGGATCTGCCTTGAGGTGGGCAGGTCAAGCTTGTAGTCGGTGGGACTGACCACGCGAAGAACGGTAAAGAGGCCGTACCAAGCACTGCGTAGCTTGACGTTGGAAGACATTCCAAGCGCACGTGCGTGGAATGCATGGGCGGCCACCGCCGACTTGTGGAGGAGAACTTGTTCGCCCACGGCGAAAGACGCGAGGTTAGAACAGCCATGTTTGTTGGCTTCAGTTGATTAGCGCTGCTGAGCGGCAGCGATGCTGTCATGTATCTGTTGCATAACAGAGACGCGACGGGAGAGGAAACTCTTAATGGTTTCGAGAGTGCGGCTGGGGGCGTTGGAAAGTACGCCTCCAGAACGGAGTCGAGAAGTGACTCCACCCCCACTGGAGATTGAACCCTCGAGCATAGGAGGGAGGCGGGGGTGTTGGAGATGGACCGCATAATGCGGCGAAAAGCCAGTGGACGCCTGAACCGAGGCGTTGTAAGCGAAAACCACGTGCTGTAGCGTGACAGCCCACGAGGAACAGGTAGAAACGGAGTAGCTCCGGAGGGTATCTTCAAGGACGCGGTTGGCGCGTTCCGTTTGGCCGTCGGACTCGGGGTGATCCAAAGTCGACATATCGAGCGAAGTGTCGCATAGGGCGAATAGGGTGGACCAAAACTTCGCCGTGAACCGCGGGTCGCGGTCCGAAACGATCGAGCGAGGCAGGCCGAAACGACAGAAAACGTGATCGAAAAAGAGGCGACGCCTGCTCAGCGTGTCCCGGACGGGGACGGCAATAACGTACTTCGACGCTCGGTCGACACAAACATGATGCCGGTGTTGCCGCGGGCGTCGCGGGGCAGGCCAAACATGAAATCCATGCTCACGGATGACCAAAGTTTGTCGGGAATAGGCAGAGGTTGGAGCGGAGCCCGAGAGGAGGCGGTGATTTTAGTGCAAGCATCGCAATGAGCGACGTAGCGCACTACGGATTTATACATGCAGGGCCACCAGTATGAACGCGCCAGGACCGCGTGCATTTTGTTGCGGCCGAAATGGCCGCCGCTGGGGGAGTCATGGTAGGATCGAAGGAGAGTGAGGCGCAGTTGCGCGTCACCGGGCACAACAATGCGCGGTGGTGCGTCCGCGGTGGGTTGAAACATCAAAAGCCCATCGGCGAGGGCGAAGCTGTGTAAGGCCGACGAAGCACGGCGGGGTTTGGGGGAAACGGGGTCGGTGAGTGCCGCCAGGCGCGACGAGCAGTCAGCGTCAAAGGGGTACGCTGCACGAATTCGATCGTGAAGACCCGACGTTAAAAGACCGATCGTGGTCAGTTCGAGATCGGGACGCCGAGATAGGGCGTCGGCCAGGACGTTGTCCTTCCTGGGCTTGTATTGAACCGAAAATGTGAATTCGGAGAAGAACGAAATCCAGCGCGCCATGCGCTGTGAAAGGTGGGGCGTGTTCGTCGCTGTGCGTAAGGACGCATGATCGGTGTAGATCACGAAGGGTTACCGCCGAGTAGGTAGATGCGGAACTTGGTCAGGGCGTACTTTATGGAGAGAAGTTCCAAATCGTGGACTGGGTATGCCCGCTCAGCCGCGTGAAGTTGGCGGCTTTGGTAGGAGACCGGGCGAGGGTGACGGGAGGCGTCGAGCTGCATTAGGCAGCAGCCAATTGCGAATTGCGAAGCGTCGCAAACGACGGAGAAAGGTTTGTCAAAGTCCGGGAGCGCCAAGATCGGGGCGCGTTGAATATTGGTTTTGAGGGCGTCGAAAGCCTCCTGACAAGCGGTGTCCCAGACCCAAGGGTCGTCCTTGAGGAGAAGCCGAAACAACGGCTGGGCGATGTCCGCAAAGTTTTGCGAGTATTTGTGCAGGTACGTCGCAAGGCCCAGCCAGCGACGAAGATCTTTGACGGAGGAGGGGATAGGCACTCCGTAATGGCCTTGATCTTTTCGGGATCAGCCCGACAGCCGTTCACCCCCACTAAATCTCCCAGAACCGGGATTTCGTCAACGCCAAACATACATTTGGCGAGGTTGGCATAGAGTCCGTTGGCACGGAGGACATCAAGCACCTTGCGGAGGTGGCCGCGATGAACGTCAAGATCAGATTGCGTAGAGGAGGCGCAACTGTGAACGTAAATGTCGTCAAAGAACGACGGTGCGAAGTCGCGAAACGCGCGGAACTTCTCGGTAACCATACGATTGAACGTCGCCGGGGCGTTGGACAGACCCTGTGGCATGACCAGCCAGCCACTCCCATAACATGCCACTCGGCGTAGAAACCGCCGTTTTTTGGGACGTCGCATAGACGCATTAAGATCTGGTAAAAGCCATCGCGAAGGTCGATGGTGGAGAAAATGGTGGATAGACCCATGCCGTCGACAATAACATCCTTGCGAGGAATCGGCGTCTGAGCCGGAATCGTGGCTGCGTTCAATTTGTTAAAGGCGTGTACAATACGCTATTTCCCACCACAGGCTTCTTCACACAGAAGGTCGGGCTGCTGTGAGGGGAAATGCTCTCGCGGACGTGACCCACCGCCTTGCGGGCCGCGAAGAATGCGTCGATGGCATCGACTTGGTCGCGAGGAAGCGGCCATTGCCGCGTTACACAATACTTTGCGCCGGGCACGAGGTCAATCTCGTGTTGAACGCCCTTGTCGACTGGGAGGCGACACGCTACCTCGTTGGGGAAGACGTCCTCAAATTCGTGGAGGAGGTCGAAATAGGGGTTGGATCGCAGGGAGTCCCACGTCTGGGACTTCAAAGGAGCCGCGAGGACCGAGTCATCTGCGGTCGAGGTCAAAAAGAGATCCGTCTCTTCTTCGACTGTGATCATCGCCAAGGCGGCGATATCGTGGGCGCGGAGAGATTCCATGAGCGAGTGGAAGCTCATCTCTGGCAGTGCCAGGATCTCGGACGACGTCCGAGGGAGTTCGTGCAAGTTATACGTTTCTTCGATAAACGTGGTTGCCAAGGTCGAGGCAACTATCGGGGGCAGTAACGGGGCCTCACCGATAACAACAGAGGGCGACTCTGTTGGGGGCACGAAAGGAGTATTGTGTAACACCGTGGTTGGGTCCATTGGGGCCGCGGGCGCTGGGGCCAATGAGCGCACTGCGGGGCTAGGAGAGGCGAGATCATTACTCATCGCCTCTAGCGGAGGGCCAAGCGGATTGGTGGTGGATGGGGGAAGGCGATCGGCAGCCCGCCGATGAATCCAGGGTTGGCTCGCGTTGAGCCAAGTACCTTGTGCACGGATTTGGCCTTCCAGTCAATCCATGGCTGGTGGGACTCCAGCCAGGACATCCCGATGATGAGATCCCATCTCTCATCGAGGTCGATAACATAGAACGGTTCGATCGAGTCGAAACCGTCGAAGGTGATGGGAAAGTTGACGATTATGCGTGGTTGAGACGCAGTGTGGCCGTCGGCCATCTTGACGCGAACCCTGTCGGAGGGATCAGAAGAGGGTAAGCAGTTGAAGCGAGAGAGTGTGGAGCGGCTGGCGTAGTTGTTCGACGCCCCACAATCGATTAAAGCAGAGAGCCAGGCACGACAAGTTCCAAACAAATCATTTCGTTGGGTTGGAGCCCAACACGACACAGAAGAAGGTCTGTGTCCGAGGCTAGGTCCTTAGAGTGTGTCAGCACGCCACATACCTCCAAAGGACCTAGGGTATCCCCAGTAGGTCGCCTCGCGCCTACTGAGAGCGACCGTTTCCCGCCGCACTCGAGCTCAGAATGGTGGACGTGAGCCACCATGGCGTTCATGATTGAAGCGGTTAGGTGGACCGCTCGGAGGGCGACGCGAAGAGGAACCGTGTGAGGGCGGCTGACGCCACACGGCGAGGGGCCGGGCATGCGCGTGAGAAGTGTCCCGGGCGACCGCAATTGAAACACGTGCGGTCGTCCGATGCCTGGACGTGCATGGAGACATCCATGTCTGGTGAAGCCGCGCGTGCGTGCGCGAAGGAGGAGGAGAATGATTCCGAAAGCGCGATTCGGACGGCTTCTTCAAAGGTGTCCGGGTAGGCGCGAAACAGCTGTGTGCGCGCCGGGCCTTGGTTGAGACCGTCCATGAAAACGGTCACCCGTAGGGGCTCCGGGGGTGACTCTTCATCGTTAATGTTCGCAGCCAAGAAGCGAAGATCATGGATGAACTCTTGAAGGGAGCGTTTCCCGTGCTTGCAAGCCAGATATTGCGAGCGATAACGA